AGAGAGAGAGAGAGAGAGAGAGAGAGAGAGAGAGAGAGAGAGAGAGAGAGCGGAAAAATTATATGAAGACTTGAGAGAGAGAGAAAGAGAGAGAGAGAGAGCGGAAAAATGATATTAAGAGTTCAGAGAGACAGAGAGAGAGAGAGATATTCTCAGCCTCTATCTTCATCTTTTATATCATATACATAGTGTAAAGCTACAGAGAGAGAGAGAGAGGCAGAAATGCAGAAAGGATGCAAACAATGCAAGGATGCCCAGCGCACAATTTGATTTTCTTGATTTGTTTGTCCTTTGTTCTATGCCCTACGTTTGCTTCTTCAAGTAAATTTGATAAGCATCTAATAATGATCACGAAATGCAGATAGGAGCAAACAAGTTCGCGTCGCTCGTCTCTCAATGGCCCGTTGGCTTAGTTGAGTACACAGATGGAAATATGCAAAGAACTCTTGTTCCACTGCAGCTGCCGAGCACTTTCACATGACACAAAAGAAAAAACACGCACACAAAAAAAAAAACAAACAAAAAACGGGAGAATTGCAAACAGTTTTTGCGAGGCAAATGGAGCTGGCATAATAAGAGTAAAGTATATTAAATGCATACGGCAAATAAGCTTTGCGAATTTCCCAGGATTATAATATCAGAGTAGGTAATATGTGAAATTTTCCACTCACCCGGTTAAATTGTTTGTTTAATTTATATTCCTGATATGAACAAAAAGAACGGAACTCGCGCTCACTTGCGACTCGTGGCTAAAAATTGTTATTAAAGCATTTTTGTTGTTGCATTCTGTTATTCTTTTGATTTTTATACTTCACATCACATTTGGCACTTGTTTGCATTTCCCATATATATATATGTATAGGGACTATATATATGTGGAAGAAAAAAAAATGGTTAAAAAAAAGTCAACAAAACATTTGTAGATTTTACGCACGTAACTTTAATAATTTTTGTTATTTTATTTGTGTTTTTTTTTTTATATTTATTTTATTTTATTTCATTTAGTAGAATCCAAGTCAATTATTTATTTGATTGTGTTTTTTTCCTCTTTTTTGAATCGCGCATTCCGTTAGGCGAGCAGCGAAAGGCGACAATAAAAGACGACAATCGAATTGGATGTTCCGCCAGTGCGGGGCCAGCACGTTGGCATCGCTTATCCTTGAAAACCGTAATGAACTGTCGTTCGCAAAATTACGGACACATGGCGAAGCATCCAAATGAACAGCTCGGCTGGCTCTGAGTGCAAGCTCAGCGCCGTCCTGCACACACTCAAAACTCCAGCCAGCCAATGCCACTCGATTCAATCCACTCAATCCACTCTCGCTGTTCACCACGATGCCAGCGCCCCCGCTGCAAAGGTGTCCCAAAAGCTTGGCCAGAGCTTTCTGCAGATTGAGGGGAAAAGCTGAGCAGCTGCTCAATTGCAATTGCTCAATCAACGTTCGCTCCCCTACCCTGAGTCAAAGAGCCTTCGATTTGCACTCACAGCTCGTTTCAGTTAGGGGAAGGCAGGAAATTTCGGATTGTTTCTTTAAATTTGTCTTGGCATAGCTCTCAGGTATTCACCTAAACTCACTCAGTAGGTCAAGCTTTCAAAAAACCAAATTCAAAGCAAACATAGTAGATTTCATTTCGTCTATCCCTTTCGTATATAGACGAGACTTCGAGTCTGTAGGATCAAAAAGTACAGAAAACACAACTCACAAAATATATATAAAAAAAACCTCTCTATATACACATATATATTTTCGATTTGAGTCGGCTACAATGAACAAGCGCACCAAGGAAGTGGATGACGCGCTGAGGAAGAAGCTGGCCAAGCTGCGCTTCAAGCGTGTGGTGCGCGTCGCCTATGCCAATCATCAGTGGGTGAATGAGTCGGACGATCAGAACATCACCTTGAATGTGAAGAAGAATGTGGCGATGCTGGTGCGCAAGAAGCACAAGACGGGCATATTGACAATGGCGGTAAGCAGGCGACATGCAAACAAGCTGTGTACTCTACGTACTTAAGATGACATAGATAATACATAGATAATCCACAGAGAGTGTATAATAATCGACATAATCTGCTATGTACTCTATGTACTCTATATCGTATACCCTGTATTCTCTATATATATTTCATATACGGTATGCAGTATGATCTATACGTTCTATCCGCTTTAATATAATATACCCTACAATCTTTATGTATTCTCTGTAGTATATATACCTTATGATCCCTATACTCTGTATATACTCTGTCTATACTGTATACTACATAGAGAGTACTTACTCCATATACACTCTATGCACTCCATGTGCATATATACTCTATATACTCTATTAGAGTTCTACATAACCCTCTATACCACCTGTACTCCCTTTGTATTGCAGCAAAAAGGACTTTTGGCCACTTTACACTCCACTCGCTCTGTGGCGGAGCGCAAGAAACTTTGCACTATTGTCGCTGCCCTAAGCTGTTTCACCCAGGTGCCCCCGGTAAGACTTTCCTGCCTATCTATAACTCTATATTCACCTAGAACTATATGAGTCTGGTCGAAATCATTTGCAGAAAATTCGAGCTCGTATGGTGCCCTATCTTCACTTTATGATCGTTAGTGCGGGTCGCATCCTAATGAAAGAGGGCGATTGGCCCACCGGCGTTTATTTTGTTGTGAGCGGCGAAGTCGAGATGTCTAGAAAAGTAATGAATAAGGTAATGCCATATGCACATTCATATACATATACATACATACTTCACTATCCAACAATCCATTTGGTATCCAGGTAACACAAAAGGTGGAGCCGAAGCTTGAGGCATTCTTTGGGCCAGGCGATTGGATTGGCGAGATTGAGCTGCTCGAGGATAGCCAGCGAATGAATACATTTAAGGCTACAAGTAAATCAGTTGAAAACACATCGAATGCGAGTGAATTGTTGACTTTAATAAGTTTACTTCTTCAGCTCATTGCGAAATTCTGACGTTGGACGATTTCGATTTCAAGGCTTTGCTCATGCCCTATGTTAAGAAAGTTTGGCTCGAGAAGAAGAGGGCGATTGCCTCGCTAAGCTATCTGAGATACATGAATCCTTCACAGGTAGGACTTCTTAACTTAACTCTGTAATACATTGAAGACTCTTTAAACACAAGTAAACACAAGCGGGGTTTCCTAGGGACGACATATGATATGGTACTTTGATCGGAAAGAGAGGGACATAAGCTGAAATTCCTGCAGGGATGTGTATACAACATATTGAAAAATCTAATGAAAAGTTTCATTCGTCCATTCTCTTTGAACTCATTACGATTTGTCAACCTTCCATTTTCAGATTGTGAGTGCCTGTAAGTTTGGTATCCTAAGGCAATATGATCCATTGAGCACAATCTATCCGGATAGTTCGGATAATATACAGCATGTGTATTTTGTGCTAAGCGGCGAATGCGTTCTATTGCAATGCTTGTATATGTTGGTAAGCTTCATCTCTCCCTCTTTCTCTCTCGCCACTTCTCTCTATATGCCCCTGTTTCCTGATAGGCAAGATTTGAAAATGGCGAATGGCAATATGAACTGACGCCCGTGCTCGAGAACGATTCCGAAAATGAGAGAGAAGACGACAAGGCGGACGCGTTCGATGTGCGGGAGCTGCTGCGCTCGAGCTCTTCACTGGACGAGGCCGGGAAAAACAAAAAGAAAGCGGTAAGACTGCTGAGTTCGTTGGCTAAATTTGTGGAGTATATACATATATATATGTATATATATAATATATATCTGTTTGTTGCCTTTATTTGCCTTCCCTGCAGAAGCGCAAGGCGGAGTTTGCCAAGATCGAGGCGCACTGCAAGCTGTTGAAAGAGCAGTCAATGCTTGTCGAGGAGCGTCCGCCGATGCGCCTGGGCCGCCATTCGCACCATCACAAATCGATGTTGAATCATCTGTGGGATGACGATTTTGATTTTTCGACTTGCGAGGGCGATGAGGAGTTGTGTTCGACGTACAGCAACTACTCGTTGAAACGGGACTCGAATGTGACGGACGGCATGCGGCGATCGAGTCGCTTGAGCAAAACGAGCAAAACGAGCAGGCACAGCAATCGAAGCAGGAATAGCAAAGACATGGCCGTAGAAGCGGTGGAAGAGGAGGAGTCGGAGATGAACACAGCCTCATTGTCGCGCTCCAGCACGCTGTCAGCTTACTCGTTCGATTCTAAGAGGGATAAGGTAAATATTGCAAATGCTCAATATATGCATATTCGTTATGGCTGACTCCTCTTGGCCGCCCGCTTAGAGCGAAGACAACTATGTTACCCATTTCGTGGACATCGGCTCAATGACATTTGGCGGACTCTTTGGGGTGGGCGAGAAAGGCGATCATCGCGTTGTGATGGCCCGCACCACTGTCCAATGCCTGCTCATACCACGCTACTGGCTGATGGAGGAGGACCAGAACCCGGGACACATGTGGCAGCGCATGCGCTTCTATCTAGACCGCTGGATACCGTCGAGGAAGACACTGTACGAGGACTTCATCAAGACACGCAAATGGGCCCAGTTCAAGGCCGACTGTGTCGAGGAGTTCACCCACTCGACCATCAGCGACACTAAGGTGGAGGATATACCCATCATAATTCGCATAGTTGAACTAAAGGAGCCTAAGATCAGTTCGACCACTCATTAGAGTCTTATTCACAGTAACAAATTATTCCAAGATCGACAGATCATTAAATTTTTGTTCTTCATAGCAATAAATTACGATATTTAACACTTTTTATTCCAAAGTGTGGACACCAACCGATTTGTGGACTACAAACAAATAATCGAAAAAAAGATTCCGATTGAGCTCAATTTATGAAAAGAAATCAAGCATCATTATTACAAATATCAAGTTTTATTACTTTTATACAAAATTCAATGAGCTGGAGGTACAATTTACGATATATAAACCAAGCGGCATTTACAAAATCCCCACTGAAAATTTGTTGTGATATGACACAAACCTATTGAGCCATCGCGAATATCTCAAGTTATCCATTTATTGTACATAATAAACGCATTTAAGATAAAATATACCACTAAGGCAATGTTGTATTTTGTGTTTGTTTAAGCTGGTTAGCGGATAATATTAGTACATTTAGCGAGTACACAGAAGGTTGTGTATTTTTAGTCAAGTTGTAAACCAAGGCTTCTGTTTATGGTACAAACTTGTTAAAAGGGAAATAATATAATAATTGTCATAGGGAATTGTTGTGGGTTTTTAAGCCCAGTCATCAACCAACATGAGCAAAGGCTTTTGTTTATAGTACAAGTACAACAACGGATATACACGGATAAAGTTGAGCTTATATTACATTGCAAGTCATAGGAAATTTTATATATTTTAGCCGAAACATAAACCAACTGGGTTTTTGCCTTAGAGCAAATATTTCATATAGGGAAATCAATAGATACTTGAAAACGATAGGCTTTTACGATATTTTACATGCTATAGGATATTTGTATAATTTATAGTTAAGTCACAAACCAACATGAGCTGGGGCTTTTGTTTATAGTAAATAAAAGGGAATAAAGCCTTTTCAAATTCCGGCATTGATTGGTGGCTTAGGCTCACAGCTTACACGTTTGCAACGAAGGGAAATGAATGAATAATATAGGATTATCCCAGTAAATAAAGCATGGAATTTCATTAATTGGAATTTCGCAACAATGGCTTACCCCTACTTGGGACAATAAAGGGATATAATTTTAGTTGAGGAGAAATTGGGTTGGATTTAAAGGGAAATGAAAATTAGCCGGTCCACGTATTATAGCTATATTCCTCACTCTCCGCACAGAGATTGGTGTAGTTGGGATTGCGTCCCCTGATGCACTCGGAGGCCGGAGGTCCAGCCCGATATACCGGATTGTTTAGCACATTTGTGACCGCGTAATTGCAGGCGAGGAGCGTGTTGCCCGTCCCATTGGCGTCCGTGAACCGGGCGACGGCACAGCCCACGCGATTGTTGCGCTCATTCACCATGGTCAAAAAGTGGCCGATGGCACTGCGAACGAAAGAGATACCAGCTGAATAAACTAGCCAAAGCTAAGCAACGAGATTCGATGGTTATACGCACGGTCCGGGACGGGGCACATAATCCTCCACATCGGCACTGGTCGCATATTGATACTCATCGAACCAGGCGGCGATGCGTTCCCGCAGAAATTTTGCCGTGTCAATGTTGAGCGTGTAGAGAATGCTCAGGTTCTGGCCGGAGTAGCGGTAGGTGTTTGTGTTGCGGCACTCGTCGTGCGCCATGCGGCACTGCAGCGTGTTGTAGGCGGCCACCTGGGCGAGCGTCGAGTCCCACGACATCGTCCCCATATGCAGGGCACTCGGAAAGCCGCTCAGTCCGCCGCCTGCCACCAGATTGCGTCGTTCGTTGTGCTCCTTCAGGATGAGCGGAATGTAGGCATCGAGCGAGACAAACTCGCCCCGACAGCCGCTCGCGAATTGCTGAGAAACACGGATCATTCAGTTTAATGCCCCCATTCTATTCCATTCCCCTTCATTTCGCTGACGCGGAACTACTTACGCCACTGTTCCCGCAGACGACATGCCGCGTACCTTCCGGGCAGAGCGCGGGATTGCAGTAGTTCTGGGCGCAGCTCAAGCGAGCGCCCAGCCAGAGCAACTGCAGCAGGGTCACAAAACTACAGCGGCGCGCCATCGGCAATCGAGCGAGTCGCAATCCAGCGGCGCAGCAACTATTTATAGGCAATGGCAGTGCTGGGACAATGCCTCCACGTCGTGTCACTGGCACATCTGTTGTTCGCCCTGCCTGCCATACAAATCACAGTACCCATCACATAAAGGGAGAGTGAAAGTGAAGGGGGGAGAGGAGAGAGGGGAACGACTGGAAGAGAAAACAACTAGATGCACTGCCGATTGTTCGGCTCACTGAAGGTTCTGTTCTCATACGCGCGTATACGTAATAAATTCGATAACAGCTGTTGCGCTGCCCCTCCCCTCGGCCACCTTGCCGCCCAGCCCACTTGTTTTTTTCAGTTAATTCAGGTCGCTGTCTGACTAGCTGACTGGCATCAAAAGATTGGCGTCTTATGACTCAACGGAACTGCCGCATCTTGCCAATCAACAGCTGTGCTCCCGCTCCCTGGCTCCAATTGGAGAGGAAATCATTTGAAAATCGATATATGGCTGAGTTCTGATTGGATTTGTATGTGAGCTCATTTAATTATGTTTAAGGCAACTGCATAGATTCGTATATCTTTAGGCATATGCATATGTATGTAACCACGGTATATAAACAATAAATTGTTAAAAACTGCATGCATTTGTATGTATGTGTGTGTGTGTATCTATTCGAGTGCGAATGCACGTATCTATGCATATGTACATATGTAGATGTTTACATCTACATGCATACATGTATATGTATGTATTCTCTTTCGTATACTCGATTTGCCACGCCCCTACTGGACGTAGACACTTAATTTTTAGCCAGCTCATGGATCGAGCTAACCATAACCTAGCTGCAAAATTTGGATGCTTACGCTCCAAAAATAAAAAGATTGCAGGGTATTTTTTGATATGCAACGCCCCTAAAGAGGCGTAACAATAATACTTGGAGATAGATAGAGGAAGTTACTAGTAACTTGACTATCAAAATTTGAAGCTTCTAGCTCTTATACTTTAGCAGATATAAACTTTTGCGGTTTGTCACGCCTCTGTGGGCGGAAATACAATATATCCACCAAAACGGTTTGGTCTTTGGGAGGCCAGCCAGAGTATATATACCCAATTTGAGGCCTCTAGCATCAATAGTGTCCACACCAACTCTAGGAGTTGCAGAGGTACGGGGGTATAGGGGGTATAGGGGGGTATATGGTGGAGTAGGGGTGGAATAGAGGGTGGTATAGGGCGGTATAGGGCAATATAGGGCGGTATAGGTGGGTATAGGTGGGTAAAGGGGGGTATAGGTGGGTATAAGGGGGTATAGGGGGTATAG